ACTGTTGTATTCTGAGCACCTCTGCAAAAACAGTGGTAATGTGTGAGTGTGGTGAAAGTGTTGAATGATGATGAAAGCATTTTCTTTTTGGGGATTTTATTTCTTTTTTGGGTCACCCTGCCTCGGTGGGAGACGGCCGACTTGTTGAAAAAAAAAAAAAAAAAAAAAATTATATATAGGGGGTAAAGGAGGTTTTGTGGGCAAGGGGCTTGGACTTCCAGCAAGCGTGTGTGAGCGTGTTAGATAGGAGTAAATGGAGACGAATGGTACTTGGGACCTGACGATCTGTTGGAGTGTGAGCAGGGTAATATTTAGTGAAGGGATTCAGGGAAACCGGTTATTTTCATATAGTCGGACTTGAGTCCTGGAAATGGGAAGTACAATGCCTGCACTTTAAAGGAGGGGTTTGGGATAGTGGCAGTTTGGAGGGATATGTTGGGGTATCTTTATAGTGTATGCTTCTAGACTGTTGTATTCTGACACTCTGCAAAAACAGTGATAATGTGCGAGTGTGGTGAAAGTGTTGAATGATGATGGAAAGTATTTTCTTTTTGGGGATTTTTCTTTCTTTTTTTGGGTCCCCCTGCCTCGGTGGGAGACGACCAAATTTGTTCAAAAAAAAAAAAAAAAAAAAAAAAAAACTTCTAAACTGTTTTTATTCTGAGCACCTCTGCAAAAAACAGTGGTAATGTGTGAGTGTGGTGAAAGTGTTGAATGATGATGAGAGCATTTTCTTTTTGGGGATTTTATTTCTTTTTTGGGTCACCCTGCCTCGGTGGGAGAGGGCCCCCGACTTGTTGAAAAAAAAAAAAAAAAAAAATTATATTAGGGGTAAAGGAGGTTTTGTGGGCAAGGGGCTTGGACTTCCAGCAAGCGTGTGTGAGCGTGTTAGATAGGAGTGAATGGAGACGAATGGTACTTGGGACCTGACATCTGTTGGAGTGTGAGCAGGGTAATATTTAGTGAAGGGATTCAGGGAAACCCGGGTTTTTATTTTCATTATAGTCGGACTTGGTCCTGGAAATGGGAAGTACAATGCCTGCACTTTAAAGGAGGGGTTTGGGATATTGGCAGTTTGGAGGGATATGTTGTGTATCTTTATATGTGTATGCTTCTAGACTGTTGTATTCTGAGCACCTCTGCAAAAACAGTGATAATGTGCGAGTGTGGTGAAAGTGCTGAATGATGATGAAAGTATTTTCTTTTTGGGGATTTTCTTTCTTTTTTGGGTCACCCTGCCCCGGTGGGAGACGGCCGACTTGTTGAAAAAAAAAAAAAAAAAAAATATATATATATATATATATCCTAGGTAGTAGGTTGGTAGACAGCAACCGCCCAGGGAGGTACTACCGTCCTGCCAAGTGATTGCAAAACGAAAGCCTGTAATTGTTTTACATGATGGTAGGATTGCTGGTGTCTTTTTTCTGTCTCATAAACATGAAAGATTTCAGGTACGTCTTGCTACTTCTACTTACACTTAGGTCACACTACACATACATGTACAAGCATATATTTTTCACACCCCTCTGGGTTTTTCTGCTTTTTCTTTCTAGTTCTTGTTCTTGTTTATTTCCTCTTATCTCCATGGGGAAGTGGAACAGAATTCTTTCTCCGTAAGCCATGCGTGTTGTAAGAAGCGACTAAAATGCCAGGAGCAAGGGTAGAAACCCCTTCTCCTGTATAAATTACTAAATTTGAAAAGAGAAATTTTTGTTTTTTTTTTTGGGCCACCCTGCCTCGGTGGGATAGGCTGGTTTGTTGAAAAAAAGAAGAAAAATAAATAAAAAAAAAAAAAAAAAATTAATATATATATTTTTATTTATATTATATATATTATATATATATATAATATATATATATATTTATTATATATACACTATATGGGGAATCAAATTAAAAATGGGTTTGACCAGTTATTTTTTGCTGATGAACTGGCTTATGGGAGTTCAAAAGAAAAATTGAAAAAGGTTTAGGGATGAGTTTGAGAATGTGTGTAAAGGTGAAAGTTGAAAGGGAAATAGAAAAGAGAAAGGTGATGAGGGTATCAAATGATTTAGATAAAGAAAAATTGGATACAAATTGGGGAGGAGGGTATTGAAGAAGTAAATTTTTTTTTTCAGATACTTGGGAGTTGACGTGTGGGCGGATGGATTTATGAAGGATGAGGTTAATCTAGAATTTGATAGGAAAAAAGGGTGATGGTGCGTTGGGTATATGGGAGTCAAAAAAAGTTTCTATGGAGGCAAGAAGGGGGAAGTATGAAAATAAGTATACCAACACTCTTAATGGATGTGAAGCTTGGGTGGGAAAAAACAGCAGCGAGGAGACGGTTCGAGGGGGAGTGGAGATGTCCAGTCTAAGGGCAATGTGTGGTGTAAATTTATGAGAAAATTCGGGTGTGGGAAAATTTGGAGAAAGGGGGAGTTTAAAAAAAAGCTTGTCAGAGGGCAGAAGAGGGGGTTTTTGAGGTGGTTTGGTATTTGAGAAAAGGGTCAAGTGAATGAATGGAAAGCATATAAAATTTTGGGGAAGGAAAGGGGGTAGGGGTTTTGTCCCGAAAGGGTTGGGAAAAAGGGGGGGGAAAGGGTTTTGTGGGCGGGGGCTTGGGCTTCCCCAAGCGTGCATGAGGTGTTAGATAGGGGGTGAATGGAGAGAATGATACTGGGGGCCTGACGACTGTTGGAGTGTGACAGGGTAATATTAGGAAGGGATTCAGGGAAACCGGGGTTTTTTTCATATAGCGGGACTTTAGTCCTGGAAAAAGGGAAGTCAATGCCTACTTTAAAGGAGGGTTTGGGGGATTGGCAGTTGGAGGGGTATTTTGTGTACTTTATATGTGTTGCTTCTAGACTGTTTTATTCTGGCACCTCTGCAAAAACATGATAATGTGGAGTGTGGTGAAAATGTTTTAAAGATGTGAAAGTATTTTCTTTTTGGGGTTTTCTTTCTTTTTTTGGGAAACCCCGCCCCGGGGGGAGACGGCCGACTGTTGAAAAAAAAAAAAAAAAAAAAAAAATATATATATATTATGGAGGGGGAAAGTTTTTTATCTCTATACGTTATAGCTTCTAAGCTGTTTATTCTGAGCACCTCTGCAAAAACATGATAATGGTGAGTGTGGTGAAAGTGTTGAATGAGAGAAAGTATTTTTTTTGGGGATTTTTTTTTTTTTTTTTTGGGTCACCCGTTCGGGGGAGACGGCGGATTGTGAGAGAAAAAAAAAAAAAAAAAAATTATATATTATATATATATATAATATATATAATATATATATATAATAATTATATATAAAAATTTTATATATATTTATATATATAAAATTATATTATATATATATATATTATATACACACACACCACACACACACACACACACACACACACACACACACACACACACACACACACACACCACACACACACCTAGGTTTAATGTTTTTTTTTAAATTTTTTTTAATTTTTGGGAAGATCTTTGTTGTGATCTGTTTTTTTTTAATAAACCCAAATATTTTTATTTATACTGTACTTCTTAAAATTAAAAAAAAAATGTTTTACCTCTCAGAGAGTGACCCCATCTTCCACTTATACATGCAACAATCAAATCAATGCACAATTTCACTACAATTTCACAAGTTACCATGGTGCAGATGTTCAAACTGGTGCACATAAACAAGGAGGAAAGACACTGATGCAAGAGAACCACCAGTAATTTGAAAGCTACAGTGACAATATACAATTCGTTACCATACTTACATCATCATCATCTTCTGAGAGCTAAATGAAAGCAAAAATATATACAAAATGTAAAAGATAACATTTTACTGTAAAAAAATATAATCATACTCCCCCGCAAAAATGTAATTCAAGAAAATGTATTTTACAGCAGAAAAGGGCTTGTTAAAAAGTAATTTTTTGAAAAGAATTAAAGGTTTATGTTTAAGTATTGCACAGATTTTACTGGGATGACAAATTTTTCCAGTCCTATAATAAATGATCCAAAAAAAACCCTTCCCAAATCAATAAAAGTTTGAAAAATGATAAACCTTTACAAATTTTTTAGTCACAAAAAGCACAAAAGCCAAAGAGGTTAACACGTCATCCTCCATAGTGTACAAAGGGGCCAAATGCTTTTTTGAAAGGGGAAATTTCATCAAACACTGCACACTTAACCAAGCACAGCAACTTTTAGCCATAATTGTGCCCGCTAACCAGAACTTCTTCCCCAACAGCTCGATTCAGAGCCTCCATTATTATTAGTATCTATACCTCTCAATGCAGTTATTTATTAAATATATTTATCTAATCAAGTTATATTTCCTCTTCTTTATATATATTTATTAGAAAAGAGTACAAGAGTCTGACAAAAGTGCCTGAAAAGCTACTTAATGCTTTAAACTAGATATATAATCATAGCATACAAGAGCTCACTTAGTAAACCACCATTAAGGCTGAGGATGACCACTCAAAATATGCTCAAAGTATTTTCTTAATACACAGCATAAAGCGTTCAAATTGTTAAATATGATGCACTTTGGCTTGTAGCTATATTTTTAAATGGAATAAAAAATAAAGATTATTTACAGTGCATCTGTTGCTGCATACTGACAGCACAATAGATATGATCTAAAATTTATATTTTAGATGTAAGTGAAAGAACTGTATCATAACTGGTTAGTCTGAATGAAAGGACAGTCAACTCCCATGCGTAAAGCAGCACAATTATCATGCAATATTTCTGGGAATTGTTGACTGATAATAGGCATGAAATACAAAGCAGAACATGTGCATATTGTGAGGTCATAATGGCTGGTATGTTCATTATTTCCTGAGAATGGGTTATGACAGGAGACCTAATACAAGGCTGATGATAATCTTTCTTATACCTCTGTGGAAAGAAAGATGCCTGATTATCAAAACTGGCATAGATCTGTTAATATATTAATACAAGCCACATTTATAATTAGTATGTAATGATATTCTGTCTTAGCAAAAAGTACTCACCTCAATTAGCTCTTCTGATCCATCTTCATCACACATCTCTTCATTTTCACATTCTTTTGTATTTCTATTTTGTTTAATCTGAAGATACAACAAAACATCTTTAGTTACAATCCAATCTCTATGTACATAATCTGTGTGTATGTAATTATCTACATGAAGTTGCAGGAAGTGAGTTCTAGCTCTTAATCCTGCCTCTTTTGACTAACATGAAATAGCTGTCATAACAATTTTAAAACCTCTGTATGAAGTCTGCTTCTACTGTGACACTGTTCAGTTTGTTACACATTACTTTACCAAACATTTTTTTTTTTAACACACTGGCCGTCTCCCACCGAGGCAGGGTGCCCCAAAAAAGAAAAACACTCACTATCATTCAACACTTTCACCATCATTCACACATAATCACGGTCTTTCCAGAGGTACCCAGATATGACAGTTTAGAGGTCTTTCCAAACAGCCAATATCCCAAACCCCTCTACTAAAGTGCAGGCACTGTACTTCCCACCTCCAGGACTTGAGTCTGACTAACTGGTTTCCCTGAATCCCTTCACAAAATATTACCCTGCTCACAATCAAACAGCTCTCAGGCCCAAAAGCCATTCATCT